TTTCTTGTTGTTTATTTCTACAATAGAAAAGAGTTTCCAAAAGCTGAAGTTTAAATAAACTTTAGAAATGTCATCAAGGTCTAAGTAAAGGCCTTCTTCTATTTATTCTTATATGGCCTTGTTTACCTTACAAATCCTACAATTTTTATTTGTAATATTTTTATCCGAAATGCTTTTCCTAAAAGTTATCTGCAAGCAAATAATATGACCACGCTGTGTCTATTATTTATTAAAAAATAAAAATACAAATAGACACATGTTCCTAGTGTATATGAGTCGAAGTGCTTAGGCAGTGCTCGGCATTAGCTGCACATTTTGAGCCGATTTCTGAAGCGACTCCCCACCCACTACCGCTTGAGACTCGGCGGCCGAACCACTCAGGCGAGCGGCGTCCACCGAGCGCTTGACGGCTGTTTTTCTGTTTTGTTTGTTTACAGGTATTTCTATATAGTATTAATATTTCATTAGAATTTCATGCAACATCTCTTCTGTATTTACCCTTATAAGCTATCACTATTTTAAAAGTGGTCACTTGTTATTAAATTTATTTGTATACTATCAAAGAATTTTTTGATGCAACATTTCAACAATGCCTTTCACTATTTGTCTTGGCTGTCAAAAACAGAAAAAATAAAAAAATGATAAGTTTTATTCTGCTGATAGTATTTCTTTGACTAATATAAACAATCCGAGACAAAAATATAATGCGAAAAAAAGAAAACTGAATGAACTCAACAATATCGCTGTAGCTAGTAAGATCTGCAGGTTTTGCTACGATGTAGCACGTAATAATCCTGCGTGTATAGTCGATAATACTCCTGATTGAACAATTTACAGAAGAGGCTCAAACTCTCACAAACATTGTACATTCGGTTGTAAAAATGTAGAAAACTTAATTGCAATTCCAGATATAACACGACAATTACTACTTATAAATTATAAGTTTCTAAGCTTTTCTCATGCTTGCATGTGTTCTGAACATCTGGCTATTGATAATTATTGGCCTCTTGTGAAACAAATAACACGGGAAGTAGCACCTGAAGATCAAAAAACTATTAGTGAACTTATGTTTAATTATTATCATGATTCTGAAATGAATGTAAAGTATGTTTTTAATATACATAATATCAATTTTATTGACGACAATACTTTCAAAGACTGGTTCGCGTTCGATAAAAGATTTGAAAAATTTGAAAAAATTTGCAACTTTATTACAACTTGTAAACCTACGCATGTAGCTGTTTTACTATGTAAATTACGTACTTCTCTTACGAATAAGCAATTGGCTTTTTTATTTGGATGTAGTGAACAAACAATAGCTAATCACGTGGATAAAGCTAGAAAATATTTGCTTGATAATTTAGTACCAAAATTCATTAATAATAACGATCGAGCAGTTTTTCTAAATCATAATACTCCTTTGGCAAAAACACTGTTTGATATTTCTGGTAAAAATGGTGCCTGTGTTTTTGATTCTACATATCGATTGATAAGTCGATTCAAAAGGCGAAGAATTTTGCTGGCCAAAAACAGCTATAAAGCGAACAAAAAAAAATGCCGCTTATAAAGCCTATGGTAGAGTGTGCTCCTGACGGCTATATTCTATTTGTTTTAAGACCCTTTGACGCAACTCATAATGATGCTACGATACTTAATGACTGTTTTGATAGATACGAAAATATATTATCAGTTTTTCAGGAAAATGATGTTCTTTGTATGGATAATGGATTTCGAGATATTGTT